ATCTTCAAGGGATGTGGTTAGTTAGCTACTTGTTTAAAAGTTTCATGTGAGATTTTTAGCTTGGGATGTTGTGGATAAGTTGTTGGTATATGCTTCACTTGAAACGCTATTAAGCTTCCATTCCTTAGGGTTTAGCCAAATAAGGTCTTAAATATCTCTGATTTCAATTCTTGTAATCTATTTCAATTACTTTGACCTATTGGACATTTTCATGGTTGTAGACAAAACATGGTCTTATTGGCATTATAGACAAATTGTGGAGCACTTCTTCCTTTCACCCATGATTATATTTTTACAATTGTTTTTTTCTACTGTTGATCTATTCTTTTTCTGTAGTTTTTTTTGTCTATAAAATCTCTTTTTGATTTCAACGGGTTCCGATGCAGCATTTTTTTCCTCTGCTATAATTTGCAACTCTTTTTATGAAATTCATCGCGTGTTTTGTGTCATTTAGCCAAGACTTAATTTGTTGCATGTTGGCCTATAGTACTACAAGACTGGCTTGCATATTTTTCTTGTGACAGCCTTTATTTTTTTTATAGCTCCTAATTTGTTGTGTGTAAGGATTAAATACCTCTCTAATTTTTTATTTTTATATTTATCTATGCTAGAGTATTAGCTGAGAATGGAAGGCTAAGGTATATAGAGAGCATTACAAAGAGGTTTGTGGAGTTGACCATGGCTCATAAAAGGGAACTGAAAGCCATTGTAACAACTGTTATTGTAAGTTTACTCTATAATTGAAAAGTTTTTGGTAAGTTACTTTTATCTCCCTTCGAAAATTTATGCTCTTGTAAAATTGAAATTCAAATATAGCCTTTCTTTTAACCCTTTGCAGGAAAATGATGTAGTCTGACAGCATAATGCAATTAGGCAGATACATGAAATTTTGGTTCAATGGTTTATTTAATATATTGACACTGGTATTCTCTTGAATACTTTGTGATTATAAAGTTCTTTGATGCTTGTGATATCAAATATTTTTCTCGTGTCTAGAAATACCTAATATATGTTTAGTATATGTTTATAAAACATATAATTTTATATATTAAATTATTGAATGTATGCGTATGCATGTTTTTTTATGTACAAAAATACCTAATTTTATACCTAATAAATTCAGTGGAAAATGCTTTTCTAACAAAAAATTCTATTGAAAATTTCTTGCGGAATTCCGTTAGAAATGCTTTTTAACTAGAAAATTCTGTTTGAAATTTCTTAGTAAATTCCATGGGAAATACTTTTCTAATAGAAAATTCAGTTGGAAATTTTTGACAAAATTTCATGGGAAATGCTTTTCCAATGGAAAATTCCATTGGCAATTTCCAACAGAATTCCATGGGAAATGCTTTTCCAATGGAATTTTACGGTACAGCCGATGAATTATGCACTTTTTTCGATAAAATTTTCCAACGAATTTTTTCGTTAGAAATCTATCTGAAAAAGCTTGTTTTTTGATAGTGAAAATAAAGACAAATTTGAGAACTTATCTTCAACATTAAAAGTTTGATTTGTCAAAAATATTTTTTTGAAATCCAATTCACCCCCTCTCTTGGATATTTTCGTTATCCTTATTTACCTAGCATTCCTAACAATTCCTATGCTTTGTATACATTTTTGTACTCATCACACTCTTTCCACATTGTACTTACTAGCAAAAACTGACCTTATAGAGGTATCCTTGCTACTCAAAATTATAAAAGAGAAAAGATTATATTTTAGTCTCCAAAAGTTAATGTGGAGAGGTTGTGCCATATTCTTGAAAAGGTATAGAGGCTCTAACTTAGCTTTGAAAAGTTAAAAAGGTTTTGCTTGATCTTTAAAAGACATTATTTTAGATTTATTCAATAGCAGATGAAACTCCTTAGCTTGCTAAGGGAGAGGACATATGCAACTATAGAGAGGGCCGAACCTAAATTCTTTGTTTCTTTTCTCTCTACTTTTTAGTCCTTGAACTTGTGCATTTTACTTTGAAGATTTGAAACTTTATTTACAACTTACTTATTCATTATTTTGTTTATCAAATTACTTTTGGCATATTTTAAAGTGAAAAATAAATTTGAAAAAACTTGTATTCAATCTTGACTCCATCAAAAAGTTGAACTTGTGGCAACTTGATTTGCAGTCAAACTTGATTTGTTTACAAGTTGCTTATTCCTCTCTTACTCCTCACTCTTCACATTTGAGGATTCTACTTTACGTTGAAGAGTTTGCTGAATTTTGTTTTCATATTGTTTATTCATTGATTTATTCATTAATTTATTTTTGGCACAATTTGATTGAAAAACACAAGTTGAGAAAATTGTTTTTAACTTGTCTTCATTGAGAAAGTTTTTGGATTGCTTGCATTGGAAATTTAATTTAAGGAAAAGAATTTATAGAAATCGAATTCAACTCCCCTTCTCTAGGATATTTCAGCATTATTATTGAGCTAATATTTCTAACAAGTTTTGTTCCTATCAAATTACAAAATTTATTCATAAAGCTTGACCTTCAGTTATTTCTAAGCTTTGTCAAATGGGGAGACTATAAGTTCCAAATTTTGCATCATGCAATTTTTAGGAAGTAAAAGGATAATTCATTTAATGAAATAAAATAAAATAAAATAAAATATTCAATTAGATAAATAGAAGAAGTATCGAGTGACGGTGAATATTGTCGATCAACATTTTGCTTCTAACAGATAAGGCTAGCGATAATTAGCCAAACTTCCCTTTAAAATTGGTCACTCAATTCGTCCAATCTCAACAATCCATTCAACTCTGCCTCCAGTAGATAAAGCCCATTCTGTTCCTCAATTCCAAAGGCTTGAGAGAACCTTCGCTTCTCCTTTTGCTAGTGCCCTCTTCTCCAGAAAAAGTAGTAAAACTCCCTACAGCGATTCAATGTTTCCAAGATAAAAAGGAGAGTTTTAGTTAAGACTCAAGAGTATCCGTGGCTTGAATAAAAGCCAAGTTCCATATGAAGCCCAAAGATCTACCTTGAAGATCTACTTCAAGAAAAAGCCAGTCTTAGCTGTTTTCAATGAAGATTGATCTAAGCTAAATAACAGTTCAAGATTTTAAGCTCAGTTCCAAGCAAACGTATCTTGTTAAAACTCAAACTACCCTCATACAAGCATGATAACTTAAGATATGTACATTATAGCCCAACATACAGAAGTGTTATTAAGACTCTGTCATGAAGAATTTTACTTCAATTAAAACTCAGTACTTTCACATGCCTCTAATTACTATCATGATTTAACAAATATCTTTACATGATTGCTTCATTTTAATGATCCATAGACTATCGAAGGCTGCTAGTCCACTATTTAGGTGCATGTGTGATAATATGGGCATCAAATATACAAAACTACATGAATGGAGAGACGTGCTCTTTCATTTACATCTCTAATTGAGTTAAGCAAAGGAGAGACCTGCATTTTCATTTACATCTTTGATCGAGTTGAGTCTGAGTGAAATAGTAAAGGCTAGGGTTATCCTAAGTAGAATGAGAAGCTTTGAATCCTCGCTTATTCAATAACCAAACCTTTGGAGCATGTTATTTTATAATGATGAGATTTGAAGTCTTGATGCCTACTTAAGTCATGGGTGGACCCAGCCTTGTAGGAGTGGTGTCAAACTACACCACTCAATTCCTAAAAATCTATATAAGTATATTACTTAATTAGAGTTTTATATAATCAATGATAGCAATGAACCCATTGTATTTTTTTTTTTTGTAATTTTGTAGGGAATAGATAAAAGATTTTAAGTAAATTTATCAACAAGTAATTTATATATTAATTTTTAAATACAAAAAAATAAAAAAAATTCTTTCTATAATTTAAGATTTTATTAAAAACAGTCAAAACTTAAACTACTCTCCCTCTCCCTCCATAAAATTTAACCTTTACTCTTGAAACCTATAGTAAGGCTTTTTCTTCTCAATACTTGGGTACGTTTTTCACTCTCTCAAAACAACTCATCTAGTAATTTTCAACTCAAATTAAATTTTTAATTTTTTTTATTAATTTGATAGTTTGCGACTCAAAGAGAATCTATTTAATAAAAAACAGTATTGCATGTCAAATAATACTTTAAAATTATAAATCTTTCTATTTTGTATTTATTTTGTAAATATATTATTTGATTATTTAATTTTTATATTTAATCTTATATGATTTGTGGATACTTGTAATTAGTTTTTATCAATCAATAAAACCTTGCCAAATTGTTAGTTGTTGACACCACTCATAAAAATTTCTGAGTCCACCCCTAATTTATGTGGTTCTCAATTACAGGTATGAAAACATAAATGAATCAAAAATGGTTTTAACTTTTAAGTGGCATAAACTTCCAGTCTAGTTAAAGTCTGAACTTACGAGAGCTCAAGTGATACTTGTGCCGCTTACAATATATGTTTATCTTCACTAGTCAAATTATCCATTGGAATTAACCAAAATTTGAATGATTAATTTAATGACACATGGAATTCTATAATTTTCTTAAAAGATTTTATCGATTCCAGGTGACAATATATGATATGTAACTTGAAAATTCTTTAATTACTTTTATTTAACGACATTTGGTAAAATTTGATTGGTCACTAAATAAAATTTAAAGAAAATATAGAGAACATATGGCATTTGTAACTGGCTGAAAGTTTTCAACTTCTACACGTATCCCTACCTATCTAAATCATTAATAATAATAATTATATTGCATAAGCTTGAATTGTACAATGTAAGAGCAGTTTAAAAGAGAAGAAAAATTTTGCTCGTCAAACTCAAGTGTAAACAGAATATGCTTGTTGTTCCTCTTGTAGGATTAATATTAATCCGTATATATAGAACAATACCACAAGCATAGTGAGAAAGAGTTCATCATTAATTAGAAATACAACTGATCTCTCATTTTTGGTTCCAGATAGGAAGAAGAAATAATCATACTGATCAATCCCTCCATTTTATTCTGAAATTTCCACTGCATTTGTATTTATAACTAGACCAGCACCAGTCAGAAGTGGTGCTGAGGGTCTGGTCCTCCCGGTGAGAATCTATCAGCACCTGGTCCGCGTGTTGACATCCTTTGATAATGTTTGAGTTTGGGGAGATCAAAACCTAACTCATGTAGAAGAAGCTTGCTGTCAATATTCTTTTGCATGGCTCTCTCTCCCTGGACAATACGTGCCTGGGAACTCAAGGGCATCGAAGACAGGATTAGAAATATCGTCAATGCTGTGGCAATAGTTAAATATTTGGCCATATGTACTAGCAGAGGAAGCAACAATTAATGCCTAGAAGTGGGCTGGGAATTGGCAAATGGATTAATTCCGCTTTCATCAATTTATAACTGCAAAATCTCCAATTTGTAAAGTCTAACAACATAAGTTGAAAGGCACCTTCGCTCATGGGTTAGTGGGAAGAACATGTAGGCCGACAAATCCTTCCGGTAGAATTGTCGTCTACTTCACACAATAAGGCTTTCTGTGTTTTATGTGTCGTCTTCCATTACCATCAACTTTTATCCTCTTTGAGCGAGGGGATCTCGCTCTGTTGATATGGCTGCTTTGCTTAGTCATCTCTTGTTCTTTATAGCCCTGATAAGCCTAGTGCTGATGTCGTGAATCTTAAATTAAGGAAATTTCTAATTAAAGGTAAAGTTACGGGACAAAGAGAAAACATCAACACATGCCCAAGGCGTGATTGCACTGCTGATCAAGTAATTATAATCACAAAACATAAAACTTCGCCGCATATGCCAAAGTCAGATTGTCTTCTCTTCTTTGTTTTTTATATTGATCCTTAAATTTATCATTTACGCCGAATGCTTGTTACTGCTTACGTGGGATATGTTTGGATGAGTATCAGATCACATGGTTGTGAAGAAAACAAGTATATCCTAACAGTATCTGCTCATTTATTGGATCAATATTTTATACAATTATCCAAGTAACCTTTTGTTGTCTTCCGTGTTCGGTGTGGACAATTGATGTAGACGAATTAAAGCATGCATCAATCATATACTTTTCGAAAAGATGTTTCGACCGTGCCACATTAATTATATATATATACATAAACAATCAGGTCTGTGTTCTCTTTCTCTTTCTCTTTGTTTATCTGTTACCGGTTATTGCATAAAATTTCTACCCTAGCTAGCTTCCATTTGTAATGCAGACTTTCCAAAAATTCCAGTTAGATAAGCATATTTTAAGTAATTAAGCAGAAGATTTAGTGGAAATCCTATGCAAAATCTACTAGGTGTTGGACCTTGTTAGTTGATTGTTAAAACGATGGATCATCAGAAGACCACGCAGTTGCAGATGGACAGTTCACCTTTGATCCTAAGATTCGTTTTAAAATAATTTTTTAAAAGTAACTTTTAAATTTTTTTTTTGTTACTTATCTAACAAAAGTAACTTTTGGATGTTTAATTTGAAAATTTAAACTACACCTTTTGTACTTCAATTATATTGAAACGTATAAATTGATACTTCGTGAAAATAAAATATAATTTGCTCGAACTTTCAAATAGCAACACTACTAACCTAACCCATTTACGTGGTATCACATCAATATGATGGCACTACATGCGAGTACTAAAAAACTGTTAATATTTTATGAAAAATCCATTTTGATGCCACGTGCCATCTAATAATTGGTCAATGTAGGAGGAGATTTTAACTGTCTGGGTGGAATAAAAATGTTTTCTCTTAATTGGCATTGATAAGGATGTTGATGGTTGAATTTGGTCTACATATGATGCGATAGTAATGGTAAGATGCCATATACATAGGTTGGCTTGGTTAGATGTGCTAGAGTTTTATTTTTATTTTTCGAAAAAAAAACTGGTATTAGAGTTTGGTTTAACATGATACTTCATTTGAAAGCCCATGGTGCAAATTGTATATTTTTTCTTCAATTATCAATTCGTACATTTTGCCAAAGTTCAAGTATGTGTAATTAAATCATTTGAAATTTTATGTTCAAAATATTCTGGATTGTGAGAATCACTTTTATGAGATGGAAGAAGAATATCCCAAATTTTATAATTAAGAAACGATTAAACTTTATTGTAAAGAAAAAAACAGAAAGCTATTAACATTTGCACAAGAAAGTTATGAAATTTCACAATGGAAAATATGGTTACAGTATATCAATTTAATTTGATAAAAATAACAGTGATGAAGCCATTAAAAGAGAAAATAACTACTATGAATAAAAATGAAATGAAATAGTATGAAATGTGATTCTATAAAAGAATTATAAATTTCTTTTAAAATACAAAATTAGATTAAATTTCATCATTGTTTGTGATTTTTTGCAGGATTTTATTTTCATCCGTGAATTAACATATGCAATCTTACGTTAAGGATGAATACGAAACACTATGAAAGATTACAAATTAATGGTACAATTTATCAAAAATATACAAATGCAAACATCACAATTCTTATTTCGAATATAGAGGATTTAATAGAAATGAAAACATAACTAATAATTTTCTTTAGAAAATATTTCAAACTAATAAAGAAGATCCAATAAAAATTATCCGGACATCCCCAAATCTAGGGAGTAGGAGCTTTGGGGATTTTTCTTGACATTTTATTTCTTTTTACTGTAAGTATTAAGTCCATAATTATAGTTTTAGCAATCAGCAATAAAGTTTTGGGTAATTTAAAAAAATCTAATAAAAATTAAAATCTAACTAATAATTTCCTTCAAAAAAGGGAATAGAAGTCATAAAATTCTTCTAACAATACTAACAAGGGTGATTCAAGACGAAAGAAGAAACTAAAGTTGAAGTTACTTGCGCAATTAATCTCACATGCAAAATATAAAGCATTTCAATTTTCGTTGATTACTTTTCATTAGTATAGAAAAATATTTTTTCTCTGAATCAATGGAAATTTTATTATGTATTCAGACCTTTCCTCAACAAAGTTATGCTCAACCAACTGTTGCCACAACGTTGACCCCAGCTCTGCAACCTGTCGCAGTAGTTCCTCAGAGTTATTACGGGACTTACTATTGAGAAGGCAACAACATGATCATTCATGTTGTGGTAAAATTCTACTTTAGGTATTATGGTCTATATTTTCTTTTGATTTTAGATATTTTTGTGAAACTTGTACAAATTGTAGTAATTTATGATATCACATCTGCAATTGTGTTTCAAAAAAAGATACATTTTTGTTAGTTTTACAATTGATTCTTATTTTGAAATGACAAAATCAAATGATCAAAATATAAGTTTTAAAGTATTTTTGAATACCAAAATATCCCTTAAGCATTTACAAGAAAATTGGTTAAGTATTGATGTATGTTTGAAGCTTAAAATGCCTTAGAAAATGTTCCACAGCACAAAGGTATCGAGACATTTAGGATAAGTATTGAAACCTCAAACTTAAAATGCCTCAAAAACAGTTTAAGGAAGAAGAAGTATCAAGACATTTCAGCAATGTATCGAGACATCAACTTTGAAGCCTTAATTTCCAGAAGATAAGTACTAATGTATTGAAACTTAAACTTCAAAGTATCTAGACATCGCCTTAGAAATTCAAAACTCCAGAAGACGAGTGCCGATGTATAGAGACATGGCTTCAATGTACATGACTTCACCTCCATACGTCAACTTCCAAAAAGCTTGTGCCAATGTATCGAGACCTACATTCAAAATATTGAGATACCTCACCTTCAAAACCTCAAATTCTAGAATACAAGTGTCAAAGTATCGAGACCTGCTTGTCAAGTATTGAGACATCTTTTTCAGACTTGAATTTCCAAAAAGCAAGCTACAATGTATTGAGATCAAAGCTATAATGTGTTCATACATGCTTCAGTCTAAGAATGCCAAGAATGAACCAAGTATCGAGATGTGCTAAAGAGGTATCGAGACATTTGTTGAATCATGCATTAAAAGTATTGAGACTGATGTCAAAAGCATCGACACCTTGCATCATACAAGCTAGAAAAAAGGCATGAATAACGGCTACTTTTTCAAGCACACATCTTCTAATAGCTATTTTAGTACACTTAATTATAAATAAAGGTTTGTAGCATGTTTTCCAAGGAAAAGAACACATAGAGCAAAATTCCTAAGCAAGAATGAAAGATCAAACACAAGATTCCTCAAAAATCACTCTCAAAATTCAAGTGTTCCTCCATGAAGCTATTTGTTGTTTCCTCCAAGGGCTTGTATTCTCTCATTGTATTCATTGTTCCATTCAGCCTTTATAAAGGCATTTGAGCTTGTTTATCATCTTCATGCTCCATTGTGAAGGTTATACCTTAACCTCAAAAAGGTAGTGTTCTTGTGAATGGTTATACCCTAACCAAGTGAAAAGGTAGAAGGGTTAAGTCTAAGCTTTAAAAGACTGTTGTAAAGCTTAGGTCTAAGCCTTGAAAAGATTGGTTTGTGAATGTTATGCTTGAACCTTGAAAAACAATTTTCATAGTGGATTCTAAACTCCTTGGTGATCCAAGCAAGAGAATATAAGCAAAGAGGCCGAACCTTTATAAAATCTTTGTCTGTTTTTTATTCTTTAAATTTGCTTTTTGATAACTCTATGAATAGAGTTATTTAGGCTTAATTTTGATAATAATTTAAGTTAGTTCTTGTGGTAATACATACAAATTAGTAGGTTTTATTTAAATTATTTCAAGTTAATTAATTTAGGTATGTGTATCTAATCTTAGTTAATTTTATGCTTAATTTGGTGTTAATGTGAATAAGATAGGTTGTTATGGATTTATTTATGCTTTAGTAGGTGTTTAATGAAGGAAGAATTTTAACCAAAGAAGGAAAGCAATTTCAAGGTGTATACTTCCACTGCACATATTTTGGTATTTTGACTATAACTCTCTATACAGAGCTCCAAATGAGATTATTCTTAGACCACTGGAAAGCTAAGAGAAATAGCTATAGTTTTATATTTACTACTTTGCCTAGTTCCACCTAGAAGGTGGTCAAAAAGCTTATCAAAATTGAAGCACTATAGTAGTCCAATGGCAATTACTTTTTCTACAAATTAATTGGTCGAGGCCACAACTTTAGTGGAGGTAGGCCACATCACGTAGTCTGATGAGGAATCCTAGTTGGAATTGAATTCTTTCTTGACCCAACTTAGCCTAACTTCAAAGCCCATAAAATCAACCTTTCTAAAGACTTTTAGAGACAAGAATGAAACACTAGATTGAAAGCTAAGAATCAAGCTACAAAGTCATTGAAGTTAAGAAGAATTTGAGGGACGCAAGAAGATTGGA